TTGATAATCGGTTACAACAAGTGTACCTGATCACCAACGATATCCCTATCGATAATTCTATCCAAATCACCAATCATCATATTTTCGTCAAATTATCTATTTCGTCTGATTTTTTATGTTATTTTTGAGAAGGTTCACTCGATAATTTTGCCTAAAGCCCTCAAAATGCTCGAGTCACCTATGATAGCACTATTGACCAATAATTTTTTTTGTTGCGGGGAAGGTATACATACCACGAAAAGCGTCAAATGCACAAGATGTAGAACAAATCTTGGCTGTCCAAACCAAAAGAGATCATCGTTGGGTTCAACCAAAGGGGCTCCTACAGTAACACTGTTCTGGTTTTTGAGTCGAAGAGCCATCTTTGCAACAATGACTTCAAGTTTAGCTCCAAGTAATAGCACGATCTACATGCGTAAAAATTGTAGAATTTATCCTTCTCAGACTGAATTTAAAGAAAAAAGAAATATATAAAATACGGACATACCAAAAGTGGAATGAATGATATCCAAAGATATAAATGCCATCCTAATTCAAGTTCACAAGTGGTTTAATTAGAAGCTTATGCACACTGACACTATACAAATAGTATATTGTACATTAATTTGTTACCATGAACATCCACCAGGAAGAAGATAACAACTAGAAACCACATAAGAGGGCTGTCAAATAAGATTAACTGTTAGAAAAACAGGCAAAATACATAATATTTAGTGTAAATTCGACTTATAAGGCAAAAACTAGAACCTGATGCTAACCACGACTTTAAAATCTTCATCCAACGAACGCTCTATATACTTTTGGAAGTTGAAATTGTTGTACCTTGAAGACAAATGAGCCTGCAATTTTTAAGAAAAGTAAGTGTTTATGAAACATAAAAAAGCAATTAGGAAAATCGAGGTGGCGAAAAAAGTATCTTTACTGTGATAAAACCATGTCTGAGGGTGAAGTAATCAACTTTTGCCACTGAATTGAAGAATTGTCTGAAAAAACATTTCTGTTCTTGGTCGCAGTTAGTTAAAATTATTGCAATTTTATACATAATGAAACGAAAATGAGGATTCTGTGCTTACAATCCACAGTTGAGCTGATGTTTGTGTCCATGCTGTGTGTCGTCTTCCAAATGTAGTCTGCCTTGTGAATCTAAATCGATTTTGATCTGAATTTAATTTAAAGCAAATAACTAGTTCAAAAGGCACTATATCTTAAGATCGAAGTTCTTAAATGAATCCCTATTAAAGTAGAATTGGAACTTACAAACTAATATTAACTTATTACCAAAATAAACAAATGTTCTACTTTTGACTAAAATATAAATAAATAAATTACTACAACTAAGAATACAGAGATATTTTGTACTACAACGTTTAGTCCTAGCTACTTGACTTGATCAAAGATATTTGGAAAATGCTCATCTACTAGAAAAATGGTTGACAAAAGACTTGACACCTTCTCACAATCGTTAGGGCCCGCATGAATAAACAATTGGGAGAAAGAAGTGGTCCCACCCCCAAATATGTGTATAGGTCAACCATTTTGTCATGTATTTTCTGGCAGATGAGCATGGTCCAAGATATTTTATCCAATGCATGAATCCTATACTAATAAAATAATTCAAAATGTCGAAAGTCAAAATTTGACAATAACCAGTTGTGTGACTTCTGTGCTCCGTGTTCCTTGAAGGTCAGGTAAAAGGTTTTAATTTAAGTTAAAGTTAATAATTCATTTTAATTACATATTTTATGAAAATGAAATTACTTGAAATGTTCACTTTCACATATCCATTTATAAAAATGTCTACTTTCACAAATTTTTTGCAAAAATGTCCATTTTGGACCAAAATATTCTTGTGAACAATTTATGATTCCACACAAAGAAAAGAAGTAGACATTTTTGCAAAAATTTTATTGGCCAATAAATTTTTGACACGTAACCTGCCATATTTATTTAAAAAATGCACATGTCAAATCACAATAAAAGCTATTTTTTTCATTGACGCAGAAACGTCGAGAATTATATTTCAAGTATAGAGAATTGTCATGTTTGAAATGAAATGTCATTCTAGATATTTAAAATGTCGAGAATAACGTTTGAAATGTCAAGAACATTTAATATAGACATGTGTACTTTTAAAATATAAATGAGATTCAAATATCGAGAATAACATTTAAAATGTCGAGAACATCATTTTAATGTAACTTTTTATGAAAGCTATTTCTCGGAATCCACAACAAATTGAAAAAATAAATAAATTGTTTCTTTTTTCATAAAGGGCATAATAAACAATTTAGTGTTAAATTTAAGTGGACATTTTTCAATTGACACCCATGAAATTAGACATTTTGAAAATACCTCTATTATGAAATTCACAACTTTTTATTCATACATTTCATTAACTTTTATCAAAAATTACTAAAAATCTGATTTTGATCTCCATCAAACATGGACTGCAAAAATTAAACCAATTAATATGTTTATTTTTTAACCGTTTTAAGTTCTTAGACGAACGGGCTGTAACAGACATGTAAAGGTTTCATCATCAAGTCTCGTTTCCTGTGCCTATTTATACAAATTATTCATGAGACGAAATGCTGATTTAATATTAGGGGATTGCTATGTGTACATAATATTTTGTACATAATGGTGTGCTCCACTCACATAGTGAAGGGCCCACATGAATATAAGGGTCCCTCACCATGTGAGTAGATGACACCATTATGTACAACAAGATAATCCTATTAACGTACCGTTTGCAATTTGATAGTCGATTGATTGAGTTTCTTTCTCCCAAGCTTTCCAACGCTTCATCTGCGGGATACACAATTAATCTCAAATTTTGTGTTCAATAGAAAATTAAGAACATGGATTAATTGTAATTAATTAATTAATTATAATTACCTTGGCCCTTCCCAATGCCATGGTGAGGACACTATATACAATCTGCATAGCTGCTAATACAAATATGAATATTTGAAGCTGTTGAACCCCTTCTTGGCTCACTAATGATACCTTTCCCTGCTACAATATAAATTGATATATATATATTTTTTAATCGACCCTAGCAAATACAAAAAGAAAAAGAAAAACTCTTAAATAGTAAAACATATACTTTAGTGCAAGAATCAGTAGCATTGGTCCTCTGAGGGATCTTGCCAACATTTTCATTGTCACCGCCGTCATCATCAGATAATCGTCTGTATATATCTCTATTTTTCGAGATATTATCCAATAATCGAACATTTTCAAGATAACCAACATTCAAATGTTCGTGAATTTCCATGTTCTCTAACGACGCAGTGGTTTCTGCCTTGCGACATGGAAGCATAATTTCAGCCACCTTAGTCGAGACACAAATTTTCGAAATGCGCTCTTGAGTCATTGCCAGTAGAAGGGACATGAACCCTAGTAGCATAAGCTCTGTAAAATAAAAGAAACTCGACCTTAAATCAAGAGAATAACAAACTAAGCCTTATTCATAGTAAATTTGAGACCAACCCTTTATCTTAAACAATATAAATATACCGGATTTAAGCCTGCCAACAGCATCAATCAGTGCTGTTTTTCTATGCTTCTTGAGCCACTGCACATACAACTTCTATTTAGTAACAACTAATTATTCAGCCTTAAAAAACTTGCCATGTGAGTTTATAAGCCCAAGACACGAGTTTTCTTACGCTGGTAAGAAGGTGGATGGAGTGCTCGAGTAAGACAGAAACGGAGACGATGAAGAAGCAGACGGTGGCAAGAGCCCAACTTGGTGTGTGTTCCACTGAATCTTTGGCCGCCATGGACAACTTTTTATTGCCTGTTTTGTTACTTATATTCTTTTGTCATTAATATAAAAATGGACAAGTTATATTATTATGTATATATATATATATATATAGAGAGAGAGAGAGAGAGAGAGAGAGAGGGGGGAGGGGGGGAGACCAGGGAGGGCGAAGACTTTTTGTTGAGTCGAGCTTCGAGAAATTACGTAGCTTGAAGGTCATGAATTCAAACCACCAGTGCCCATTGATTTGTCAAAGTTCATATTAAAATCAAGTATGAAAAGTCATCCCTGACTTTGAGGTCATTTTCCAAAAAATTATAGTTCGTAGAAAAACTAATCAGGAGGTCCCATCAAACATTAAACATGATTTTAATATTTCTGATGATATTTTAATGAACAAGATAGCGATATTTGTTTTCATAACGTTAACAGTATATAATAAACTATTATTCTAAAATTTGTAAACATTAGGGACTAGATATATTTATTTTTTGATCATTATATACTTGGAAATTGCAATACACGTTTTCACACTTAAATCATTAAACGTGTAAATTGAATGGGAGGCAAATGAGTTTTAACAGCTAATTTATAATTTTTTTTGATAAATATCCTTTGAGAATTGAACACGCTCAATATGGTAACTATTTTTTTTTTTTTTAAACTTATTGATTAATGCTATATTTTAGTTTAGTTCTAGCATGTGTGGGCATTTGGTCTAGTGGTATGATTCTCGCTTAGGGTGCGAGAGGTCCCGAGGTCAATTCTCGGAATGCCCCAATTAATGTTTCTTTGTATTTTTTAGCCAATTAACAATTTATCAATTCTGTTGAGTAACAGAGCTTATTTTTCATCCTTCTATTGTTTTTTGTCTTTAATTAAAACATTAGATAAATAGTATAAAATGTCCACACCTTGCAGTGTCAATGTGTAAAATGTCATTACTTTTCATTTATTTGACAATTTCACCTCTATCTGAAGTGAAATGATAAAGAATTAATTACAATAATAGTCCCAAATTTTCAAAAAATTACAAATTAGTCACAAATATATAATTGAAAATAAAAGATGGTGATTCAATTAAGAGGTTAGTTGGATTGAAGAGGAGGCGGGAATAACAACTTTGTGGCAGTAGCTTGGATTTGAAGATGGTTCAATTGGTGGGATTTTAAAATAGACATTGTAGATGGGTGGCTGCTAGAGAGTTAAATTTGGGGGATTGGAGAGTATGGAACTTAGTGACGACCCTCAAATTATGGTGGCCGCTGGTGGTGAGGCAGCAGCGTTGATGGCCGCCTACGATATCGTAATCAAATGGTCTCGCCTTTGATATCACAATCAAATTAAGAACTAACTCAGTATCAAAAACTAGTCTTCAAGCTCCGCCCTTAAAATCTTGGTAATTTACCAAATTCCCATTGTGGGCAACTCCAACAAACCCTAATTTATAACCCGCAACAAAAGGTTGCACATTCTTGAGCATCGAGGATCCAACAGTAGAGTACCTAACATGGCTATTGCCATATCACTAGGCAATTTATCCAATTTCTATTCATTAAACACGTCAAACACAAGCCCTACAACCTTAATCGACTGAAGCACATTATCGTGAACCGACACGATTCCAACACCCTACTGGCCGCGGTGTTGGAGTGCATGAAGGGCTAAATACCAAAGGTGTGAGGCCTCGGTGTCATCGTAGATTCCCACCTCTCTGCACTTTTCACGTGGTTTGTCATCATCATCATTCTCTAAATTATTATCAGGGTTTTTTTGAATCTTTTTATGAGGAGATAAACTTATATATGGGATTTTTGGAAAGGGTGATATGGAGCAGTTTGTAGGATTCTGCGAGGATTTTAGGCCCGAAACAGTTTAAGGGTTTGGTTAGGTGCTAAGAGGATGATAAAAAAGAGAGCTTGGCAACAGTGGATTTCACAACGCGCGGAATTAATAGTAGTAGGGGTTGTGGTGGTGGTAGCAACGGCGGCCATGGGATGTATAGACAACAAATTAAAGAGTCATTATTTATTTTTTTAGTTTTAATTTTTAATTATATATTTGTGATTAATTTGTAATTTTTTGAAATTTTGGGATTATTGTTGCAATTAATTCTTTATCCTTTCATTTCATTTCGGGTGTGTTTGATTACATTTATTTTCCATGGAAAATATTAGTTTTCCATCCAAATTTTCACTTGGAGTGTTTGATTGCTATTTTTTTCCATGGAAAACATTTTTCAACTTTTGAAAATATGCCTAATTTTCCTTGTTTTTAAGGAAAATATTTTCCTTGGGTAAAGGTGGTTTTTATTTTCCACAAAAGATGGAAAATATTTTCTTTTCTAGGTAATATTTTCCATGTTAATCAAACACACTCTTCATTTCATTTCATTTCTTTTTTTTTAATAGGAGGGTAAAATCGTCTTTTTATTGAAAAATAGATGAAAATGACTTTTTGTGCAATAAAAGGTGAAAATATGGGTGAAAATACCAAAAAATGAAAGGTATAGATGTTTGGCACAATAATATTAAATGGTAGGGACATTTTGTGCTATTTGCCCTTAAAACATTTATTTGTAGTTTCTGTTTTCTTCTTTTGTCGTCGGGTATTTTTGTCACTTTACTCCGTCCCCATACCTGGTTAAGGTAGGGAGGGGCGGAGTGCGTCTTCTACCCTATTTCTATTTTATTTTTTGTATGTCTTTAGCTAGTGAATATTATTATTTTTTTCTTTTCAATTTGTTAAGAACAACTTATGTTCTCTTTAAAAATGATTATAAATCTTTTGTTCTTGTTTGATAGAAAATTTAAATTTGAAATTAACTTTAAACGGGCATAGGTAATAGGACGGAAACTAGATTTTCCATACGCGCTTTGGGTCAACGACCTCGTCTTGCCACGACGAGGCCCTACAAGTATCGAGTTGAATGTATTTTTTTGCCATGTCCTATACCTAATGAAAAATTAAGAAGAAAAAAGCCGCTAGCAAGCTCAATGCATAGAAGGGCTACAAGGGAAGATGGAAAAGGTTGATACATTTAAAGTAATATTGTCAAGACAGCTTAATCATTATGCACGACTAGCTTATCAAATAATAATCATCATCAGCCTCAACATGTGGTAAATGAAATAGTGATATTGTTTGTATGTTGAAAAAAATGTTAGAGAATCTCCAAAAAACTTTTTATTTATGAAGAGCATCTTATGTACAATAGAAATAATTTTTAGATTTAGAGTACAAAATTTATAAATTACAACAATACGCTCTATTTAACTCTTCATTTTGCTTTTTCTTATTGATTCTCTTCATATTATATTTAATATATTTTTTTATGGTTGTATTCCATGTATATAATGATTTACTTAATGGTTTATATACATAATACATATAATGTGGTGAGATATAATTGTATCAGAATTTTGAACAAAATAAAAGAAAATTCCCCACTCTTTTTTTTGACATCTTGTCTGTATGTGAAAAAATATTTACTATTTATGTACAAGTAGTGTTATTCAATTTTTTATATGTCAATAGTCAATCAACTTAAAATGTAATTTGAATAATTTAAGAAATGGAGTATTGAAATCTATGGCTTACTAAATGTAGTCATTATAAATAAGATCACAAAGTGGGTTTGAGTCTTTAAAGTTGAAGAGTCAAACTTACTTTCTATTTTAAAAAGTCAAAACAAAAAGTCTAACCTTATTTTTAAGCGTTAACTCTCAAAAATAAAGAGTACTATATATTTAGAGAGTGTTTTTTTCCCTTTTAGATATGTTCTAAAATGAGAAATAAAATAAAAAGAAAGGTAATATAAATAGTGATGGCAAAAAAATCTCGCTCCACCCTGTCCCAAATAGGGCAAAAAAACTCTCCCCGACTGATTGGCGGGGTGGTGCAAGGCACCCTGTTGTAGGGTAGGGGACGGGGCGGGGCATCCACCCCATAAAGAGGAAAAAAATTCATTTATAGACAAGTTACCCGTTAAAAATCTATTTTGAATTTGTATTTTATTCTCTAGTAATAGTATAATCCGAAATTTTTAAAATGTAAAAAATAAAATAAATAAATAAATAAAATAAAAATAAACGGGATAACAAACGAGGCAAAAACCTGCCCCGCCCGGACTCACCCCACTGCCATCCCTAAGTATAAAATAAAGTACCCATTCTATCCCATAAAAATAGACTTGGTTTTCCTTTTGTTTGTCTCAAATTATAAATCCTACCATTGTTTAGAGTATGGATGACTTTTTTTATTTTTTAATATGTCTCTAATTAATGTGTCATGTCAACAACAAATGTATACTCATATTTAAACAATTTTTAATGTCGGAATATATTAGGAAAAATATAAGAAATTTTTTATATTTTCATCTCTATTATTTACATTTCTTAATTTGTGTGAAAATAAAATTAAGTCTATCTTCATGAAACGAAGTGGAAAATATGTTGTAACAAAGTGTATAATGTCGTATTGACCTGGATATCAAGCGAGGGAATATTTTCCAAAGTCTACTTAAAATAATGACATCGGTCTTAATTTGATGATTCCAATTATGACAGTAATGTCAAAACACATAAATTTCACGAAGTTTCGATTGAGTATCAAACCCATGGGGGACCATTTGCATGTAGGGTAAAGCCTCTTGAGTCTCTCCCCACCTATCACAGAGGCCAGCTGGTGACCCCGATAATATAGCAAGATCCTTGCATATAAAAACATGTATGATGAATTTGGTACATAATACTAAAAATATATTTAATACGAGTATTTGGTGTTAAGTCAAGTCAAACTAACTTAACAATTGTATATGAGTTTAACATACGATATAAGTTAGCTCAAGTATAAAGAAGGCAGCCACCACACGAAGCGAATATTGAAAACTCATTAGGAAGGATAATTATTGACCTTGATTTCTGCGGACTACTATTTTGAATTTATATTTTATTCCCTAATAATAGTATAATCCGAAATTTTTAAAATGTAATAAATAAAATAAAAATAAATGGGGCAGTAAACGAGGCAAAAAGCTGCCCCTCCCTGACCCACCCCACTGCCATCCCTAAGTAGAAAATAAAGTACCCATTAATTCTATCCCATAAAAATAGACTTGATTTTCCTTTTATTTGTCCCAAATTATAAATCCTATCATTTTTTAGAGTATAGATGACTTTCTTTGTTTTTTAATATGTCTCTATTTAATGTGTTATGTCAACAACAAATATGTACTCATATTTAAACAATTTTTAATGTTTGAATATATTGGGAAAAATATAAGAAAAAATTTATATTTTCATCTCTATTATTTACATTTTTTAATTTGTGTGAAAATAAAATTAAGTCTATCTTCATGAAACGGAGTGGAAAATATGTTGTAACAAAGCGTATAATGTCGTATTGACCTGGATATCAAGCGATAGAATATTTTCTCGAAGTCTACTTAAAATAATGACATCGGTCTTAATTTGATGATTCCAATTATGAAAGTAACGTCAAAACAAATAAATTTCATGAAGTTTCGGGTGAGTATCAAACCCATGGGGGACCATTTGCATGTAGGGTAAAGCCTCTTGAGTCTCTCCCCACCTATCACAGGGGCCAGCTGGTGACCCCGATAATATAGCAAGATCCTTGCATATAAAAACATGTATGATGAATTTGGTACATAATACTAAAAAATATATTTAATACAAGTATTTGGTGTTAAGTCAAGTAAAACTAACTTAACAATTGTATATAGTTTAACATACGATATAAGTTAGCTCATGTATGAAGAAGGCAGCCACCACACGAAGCCAATATTGAAAACTCATTAGGAAGGATAATTGTTGACCTTGATTTCTGCGGACTATAGATGTCGGGCCCACTCGTACGCACATAAGCTAATTCCAACACGTGAAGATGGGTCGCTAGTTGTCAATACTCCGAAAATGTGGACGTGGGAGAAGCTCAACAACGTGAGCCAAATGTGTTTGAGTTCTGGCGTTATATTTGTGAAACGATTGTATAATGATACCCAAATGCAAATAACTCAATCAAAGCAAAATAATGTTAACTCAGTACAAAGTAAGAGTAAAATCGGTAAGAGAAAACAAGGAGTTGCTTTGAGTATCTAAAGTTGCATTAACCTTTCAATGTTACATGGAAGGGGTATTTCTTGAAGATACATGAATATTATTAAGGACATAGTTGTAGATGTAGAATATATTTCCTATTTTGATATGTATCCTAGACCTATATAATGGTTATACACGGTTGGAACAAGAATAACAATTGCTTTCTCTTTTATTGTGGTCTCTT